TTTTCCAATTGGTTGAAAACAACCTCGTGTTCTGGTCCACACTTAAAATCAAATGACTGCCCAAAACTCACTCAGTGATTATGGCATATGTGGACTATACTTGTTCTCGCCTGGTTTAGAGTCAAAACATGACAGGAAACGGATCACCACTAAGTAAACAGGCGGTTGCTGTTGGCTTTTATCCATCCCCACAAACACGACCTGATAATTATCAAACGGTATCACTGCATTTTTTAAAACCGCTAGTTATAGAGTTAAAATAACAGCTGTTTGATCATCCACCATCAATAATGGTTTCCTGCTAAACTTAATAAATCAATCGATGCGCGTACAGTTGAGGTCCGGAGTGCTTGATGTTGGAGTTAGGGATATGAATTTCAAATGATCGGACCCTGTTACATCTACCTGCTAGCTACCGATCAAGACAAAACGCGTAGTGTATAGACATCCCACAACTGGCAATTTTATACCGTAAAAACCCCTACTTGACAATTATCAGGCTGTGAGAAGTTTCTGTCAAACTACTGGTCAGGCTATTGACAATATTTGGGTTTTTTGGTGAACAAAGTGACCATTGTTGTTTGCCCGAATTATTTCATAAGTCTCCCTTGCAAAAACGTCTTGTGTTTTGCTTTTCGTGTGAGAACTAAGACAGAAGAGAAATACTAGTGTACTACTTATCCTGTTCTAAAACTTTTGAAAACTTCTGACCGTATTCGGTTCGCTTCAGAATGTGGAAAAGATTCCAAAATCCTTGTTCATGGGCCCCGGAAATCGGAGTATAACGGTCCGTCCCACCAACTTTAGTTCCGACCTAAATTTTTAATCAAGATTAATTGTTTTCATCACACTGTGACTAAAATTTATGGCTACAAATGACCAAAATTTTATTTCAAAAACTTCAAGCTTTACTTCAACTTTGGAAGAATCAATCACCGGCATCATAAAGGGGACATCAAATACTGTTTTTCGCCCCCCAAATTACGTCTTGAATACGATAACCCAGTAAATCTTTTCACTGGAAACTACGTCATAAATGTCTTAATCAACGTCCGCACAATGAGGTCGTCATAAGCACTTAAGCAAAACTAACATGCGGTCCCCCATCTCTAGATGGAAATACCTGTCAAGTTAGTCACCGTGACAAAATATCACGCTATTTTTGGTCGGTTGTCCGTTACTGTATGTCGAAAACGTTAGAACGGATACGCTAATTAGACAATAACTTATGGCAAACAAACATCTGGTGGTCTGTTCTCGAATACATGGCAACAGGTTCAAGGTCAATGCAAAATAAATGACATATAATTTGTGGGATTCCCTGGAGTGTACTCGTGGTTACCCAGTTATAACTATTGGTTTGCTAACCGTAAGGTTGACAAGCGCGGGAGAGCCCACAAAAAATACAACTACGTTCCAGCTTCAACAACTTGGTGGGTGAAGTAGTGATCGAACTCTGTTTCATTAGGCATAAAATGGGACTTATCTCTATTACAGAAACGCTCAAGTGCGTTGGACAGAATACAAACTACTAAGAGTGCCTTCTACCCCAAAAAGACAGTTTTAACGGCGTGGACGGAACAAAGTGGCTTATTAGTTGCGGAAATTCCAATTATATTGTGGATTCAAAGACTCCAGTTAGAAATCACATGCAGACAAGGAAATCTATAGACGGCAAAAATTCAGTGGCCTATTGATGCAATCCTCATACGGTAAGCAATTTCTTCACACTGATTAATTACAAGCGCTCAACTAATTTATATGTAATTATCTGGTTACTGCGTGCATCCGTGCATCCTTAATGAGAAGGTTCCAATCGGTCGGTGGTTTTAGACAACCTGAGAACTACTGTTCGGCTGAAAGAATATCGATCTTTATGCATGCTTACAAAGCATTTCATCATCTTTATCTGATAAAAGTTGACTAAGGTCGATTCAAATTCCATTTTTGTTTATTCTAACCAAGACTCGTGACTTGTATTGAGGCTGTCAACCAAACTGAAATGCTTTTGGTAGCTACTGAGTTTTCCATCACCCACTGACAATCTAGAAGATGAAGACTGATCCAAGACTCACAAAGCAATCATATTCAAATAATTCTCAAAACTTTCATAAAGGAAACTACTCACAAGGTTGCTGAAATTCTTCGACAGCCAATGACCAGTTTCGCCCTTCTTGGAGCTCACCAAGTAGGCGAAGTTCCCGAGTTGCTGTCAACCATATGCACTACTTGAACCCAAACTGGACTGATTCCGACAAATACACGCATTTGCATACCTATTCGGTTTCTACGGGAGACTCAACGAAATCTCGCGCTTATGTTATTCCTCACCTGAATGTGCCACACAAAGGCAACCTCATGTTTCACTTGGCACAATATCCGATATATCGCTGAACATCTTCATAAAGAAAACGGCTAAAATTTGGGTTCGAGTAGAACGTGATGGAACTGCGCCCACCTAATGAGCCCTAAGAAGGTTGGAAATGGCTGCGGCGTGTCGAAGAGTTTTCAGTGACCTTGTGAGTATTTTCCTTCATGAACATACACTACGATATCTCGACCATCGTACCAACTAAAGCATTGCGCGGTTTTTGTGCAGCACATTTGGTGGAAGAACATCATAAACGACAGATTCACATGGGTCCCCTGTGAAAACTAGATTGACATATAAATGAGAGTTTTTATCGGGATCTCAAAGGTTATTTCACCGTCACAGTTTATTCACGTCATATCAATGTGCTTTCATTTTCGGTGACTATTCACATCTCTCAAGTGCAGCCGCCCCCTGTTGGCCACAAAACAATATCGTCATAACTGAGGACAGGTTGTGTCTTGTACACTCTGTTTGAAGTAAACTCGTCCCTACACTCGGATTCTTGGCCCCGAAGGCTGCCCATCAAAAGTCTACAATTTTTCTAACAATTTAAACTTCACTTTTGTGGACTCTGTCTGTGAAACTCATTGTAACGACCGAATAGGTCATTGATATATAATGCGCCAGAATTTGAAAATTTTTGGTGCCTCTATACCTTGCCTGAGGCACAAGGTCCATCTACGTCTGTGCCGATGCAAAGATATGAGCAACACACTTTCACAGCTCTTAACAAAGGAGTGGGGCAGAAAGTAATGTAAATCAAGTCTCTTTGAGTTTATCCACCAAGCAATTCCACAAGTGTTTCGTCGCTGAAAACCATCTGGAATTTCCCAAAAGATCCTCAAACGTCTTAGTAAGCCATCTTATTTGCCGTGCTACAGTGCAATCCGGACAGTGTTGTATCTGCCCCAATCAGAAAAAAGTGGACGAATTAAAGATGGTATCAAAGTGCATTGCAGGACCATTTATTATCGAAATCCATAGTCCCGCGTGAAGAGAGGGAATATCCCCAGAATAAATGACATTTTCATCAACATTCCTAGAAATTTGTGTATCTTCTTAGACAAATGAGTCAATCTGATGATTAATACTTTGTGCTTCACATTTTACGTTCTTAGGCAGTTTTTACGGCAAACTGTCCCTACAAAGCTCCCTAAGGAACAGGTCCGAGACCTTCCCTGCAGCCTCCACATAAAAATTTCGTTAGGTGGACCATCTTTTTTGTTAAAATAAATGGTCACTTGGATCATTGAAGAGAAGGTAGTGACTAAACTACCCTAAATTGTAGTTCTTCACTTTCCTCAAATATATGGGGGCCTGTCAAAAAGAAAACTCGACAAGATTGGTCCAAAGTTGATGCCGTATAAGAATGAGTACTGATGGACAGGTCTATTATACCAAGTACCCAAAGTTGTTTGTTGAAGCTGAGGCAATTAATTCACGAATTTGCAACAAAGTTTTTTGGATGATACAGGTCCTCTGAAATGTCATCGAGTTCTGGAAAAACTTAGAACGAAATATAGGTGTTTCTAAATATACTGGCTTACGGAACACTCACACCATTTTCATTACAAATTGGGTCGAAAAATTGTGTACAGTGTTTTTTTCTGGCATTCGTTTGGGTCGATTATTGGTGAAAAAAGTTATGAAAACCTTGTCAGGCCTTCACCAATCAAGCAGCCTCTTGAAGTTTCACGGCACACCCAATCAAACGCATGTTTTCCCCCCTCTGTGTAAATCTGATTACTTTTCCCTTGACGAAGGTCACCCACGGTGATCAACACGTTGAATTACGAAAACGGTGCTTCTAACTTATTTTTGTTTCACCCATCATTACCCGACAATGAGATTCATTCTTTTCTTTCCGAAATATAGATTTCTTTGTATTGCAGCTATTGCCTTCTCACAGGGAGAAAGTTTTCAGTCAACATTCATGAACTTCGAATATCGTGCCAATTGAAACATGAGGCAGCCTATGGGCAGCACATTCAGTTGTAAATTCAGTTGAGTCTCTCGTGAAAACCAAATTGATTTGCAAATGAGTGTTTTCCTCGTAAATCTACGAACCTTAGAGAATTAGGATACGCATCCTAAATAACTTACCTCAGTCTTGGTTGGACAACTTTTTCTTTCCCACTGGTTTTCACAAGTTCCACGCATTTTACCAATTGCGCCTGATCAAAATCAGCCTTCTTACTACACTTCCTTGGCTTTCTGAGGCTGACTTTTAAACGAGGCTTCCCAGTTTTGGAAGTCGGCACAGTTTCCGATGCAGTGGTCCAGGGTGAGTATTTCAGTCTTTTAAAACTCAACCCTTGAATCAGTCGGTTTTGATTTCCCATCCCTGTAAGATTTTCTGATAAGTCGATAGAATCTGGTCCATATTCCACAGGGAGATGACTGTATGGTGAGCACCTAGTGGTTAGCTGTTTTAATTTACTCAATTCTATGGAGTCCAGGGATTTCTTGTGTGTAAAGTGCTTGTATCGGAAGAATTTCTGGAACTTTCCCCACCCTGTTTTCAACTTGGCGATTGCTCCGTTCATCCGCGTTCGATCAGAGTAAATCGACAATGGAGATGGAGATTAGTCGCAAGAGCGGGTAACACACGGAGGATGTGCGTTACGCGGACGGACGTGGGTGCTGCAACTCAACGATGGATACACGATGGTTGACTATTTTGTCGATGTTTTCAGACACGCGTGCACCTACAAACGCAGGGCCAGACCGATGGCTTGCTACGTAAATAGACCACAGGACACATTTGAATACCATTGTTTTAAGCATTATGGTGTGTGTGTGTGTGTGTGTGTGTGCACGCGCGCTCCTTGCTCCATTAGCAACACGCACGCGACCTACAAGCTTGAGTTGGATTGGTGGGGAGGTAAAATTTGTCATCTATAATTTTGTTTCGGAGTACTATAACATAACTTTACAGTCATTTGAGCATACAGAACGCGCGGCGAAAACGGAGAGCTTGCCTCCGTTTGTGGAAAGCCGCTTCCTTGCAAACAGGTAGAAATATTAGCGACAGTGTATTTACATACTCACAAAAGTAAAACAAATACAATCGAGTATTTGGAAGTATCATAGTGCAACGAACGAACGCAAAGTACCAAAACCTACCTAGACAGAAAACAAGATCGAACAGATGATTTAGCGACAGGTAGCATTCGCCAAATTAGTTCACCATGCTAAGTGAAGTTATGTCTGTAAGTTTTGGGAAGCAAAGCGAAAAGGCATCATGTCCATAGGTTTTCCTGTTGTGGTGACCCTTTTTACTTCAAAGCCCACTCAACGGAAGCAGGAACGTTGTCAAAATCTTTGAAGTAAAAATAAAACATCAAATTCACAATGTGTGTTACCGAAATTTATTCTCTCTCCCCCTCTTCAACACAAGACTGGAGGGAATATAATTTCCAACTCATTCCTGAACTGCTCCGTTATCCTCAAGTTGATTCCGACCTTTTCGGACATATTTTGTTGAAAATTGCGTTTGTTATTCGACTGCCTACTTAATAACGAGAATCGCTAACTAGGAAATTTGGTGGCCATGAAAAAATTGGAAATGAGTCACCAGTGATGTGTCCAGCTGTGGTAGATTCCGTCACCTTTATTTGGTAAAACGTACTCGTTCGTGGTCTAAGCTAGTCAAATCCGACAAGGTTTTAGACTTCCAAACGATGAAAACCCTAGGATGTGGATTGCCGAACATCACACCATCAGGAATTGGGACAGTAGGATAACGGGGATTGGCGTTGCCAAATGGTGGTTTTAGAAAATCTGAAAATATGCTCATCATGTATACCAGCTGTAAAGCAAAACGCCTTACAAATTGTTTACAATGTTGCTACCTCATAGTACCATTTGCGTCCGTCATCAATTCGCCGATGATTACCTTTCATAACGTGCTGTTTGCGACGCCTAAGTCTTCTTGAACTTTCATTGTCAGCCAACTATGACCCAATCATTGATATTGCTTTAGCCTCAACAGGCAATCACCGATGAGTTTTACGCAAACCGCGGATCATGCTACTGTTGGTCTGACTGAAATCGTAGCCAGCTGAAATCGACTCACTGGCTAAACGAGTATCCGGCATCAAACAGTGCACATTCAAGTTCGGCGCTCAAATGACTGTTCATGTAGGCTCCGTGGCGCACCCTTAAAATTGTGCATGCGTGCAACTTGTAATGTGGAGGTGATCAAGCCACCGACTCGGCTGGATTGATCGATCGTTGATACAACATGCAGAGGTGAAGTCAGACGCTGGCTCAATGGGACTTGTGTTGGTGAATTTGACAGTCGGGCCTCTAAGGCCGGTTGGGTGCTTTACGTGTTATGGGCTTATACATAGACAACTCCTCGGATATCGCGCCTGTTAGGTGCCTCTCCGCTAGGACCTATTGAGTTTATGCGGATCACTGCTTTCTAACACCAAGAGAAATCCTGCTCCACTGTGTGCAAGAGTAGACCGAAAGGTTACTTGTATTGCTAAATACGCAACCATGGTTGATCCTAATGGTGCCTGATGAAATTAGCATCGGTGGGCAAAAAGCAATGAGGATGCTTTGTAATAGGATAGAGGAGATAAATTTGGTGCATCCATATTTCTTCCGAGTATATTGTGCCTCGTACGAGGGGCTTTGGAAACAAGTAAAAGGCCAGTTGAAATCTCGTGTACCGTTTGACTAGGCTTTCAAACCGTGTAAGCATCGCCATAGCTTCCCCATATGGGTCTTCCGGCAAAATATGTACCTCAGAGCCAAAAGGATCAACGATTCGCGATCGCATCGCACGTATCATTGTTGGTAGCAGGTATTCACGAGTAAGAAAGCCGATAAGAACAGGCATGCCGCTTTTCGTCTAGCTTAGGTACGCAGGAATAAATTAGGTTGGTTGAAAGGTCGTACCACATACTCTCCGTGAGGGGAGTGGGAAATTTTTGCCACCTTATTCATAAATATGTCAGTGCAGTATATCGATCTTCAATTTCCGGAGATATTCTACTACGTGCATAAGTTAAAATAGGCTCACTTCATCCAAGGCTTCACCATTCAATGTCGATACAGTGTGATGCTGATGAAAACTCAATGTCCAGATTTATTTCGTTTTCAAATTCCTCCATTTTTCATATTCGTATGTAAATATTTGTAGGTAAGGGCCCGGCCAATTACTTCCAGTCATCTATTTTATTGGAAATGATCGATAAAACCAGGGAACTGGTGTATATTAATGAACCCTTCAACAATAAATGCTTGGTGTACGTCATCGCAGTCGGGGCAGGGAGTTCAAAGCGCACACGTCCAGATTGCTTCTTTCCTCACCGAAACTTCATTTGGAGCCATTTTCTAAACTTTTTCTGCAGTTGACAAGACGACCCATCTGCCTCAGATTCTATGTCGCCCTTCAACTTGCAGCATTTAGACTTTTCAACTTTTCACTCAAGGCAGCTGTCCACTGAATTCGTAATCGATTTCTGTTCAGTAGGCGCAGAACATTCAGTCGGTAACAAGAACGTGGGCACACTCGACTCGGAACGGCTTGAGGTCAAAATCAAAGCTTTCATGGGCGTGACCAGGCTTCATTTAAGAGTTATACCCTAACCACCAGTGTCGCGAAATGCATCCATCTGCAATTTTCTTGGGAGATTCATCCAAGTCTCATTTTTACTACTACTCAACTAAATATTTGCATGGAGGTCGTTTCATATTTCAGTTGATACGATATTTGAGATACTGCTGCATACCTCCCTGGCATAATTCAGATACTGCTGCATACCTCCCTGGCATAAAACTCCACTCATAAGTTCTCCGAAAACTCTCCAAAGGCCAGCTACTGGTTTTGTCCTTCTTTGATCTGCTGGAGTCTAATGAAGGATGGGAAGTGAATTTCTGTTGCCACAAGCAGAACCTTATGTAAAGCTGGCGCTACGCCAGATTTTTTCACGTGTACTTTTCTGAGCTGTTTTCAAAATACTCTTCTCTCTGTGCGCTTGCATATCATCTGTTTCCCCTCCCATACAAAAACATTCCCACAGCTATTCCATATGAATCCTCATAGGCCGTGCTGATGTGTTGGAAAAAAGTGGGCATCAAGTCATCTTCGTGTTTAAAAATATTCCCAAATTTCGATTCATGAGCACATTGTGGAACATTCCACGTACGAGAGACATTATTCTGCTTCATAGCTTTATTTTTCTTTCAGTTTATCAACTGAAGGCAATACTTTTTCCTTCATTTGACATCCCCGGAGAACATGCATTTAGGTGTTTGTTGTATTGGTCCGCACAATGTTCATAGCCGGAAAAACTTTACAAACAGAATAAAACTTTTTACGTCAAAATGTTGGATTTTTGCGTACCGGCTCACACCAAAAATCATCCTAATCTACGTTCATATTTTTGCAGCTCACTAAGTTCCAATGTCCTCTGGAACAATCATACCCTTGGCGGAAATAGCCTGGAAGAATAGTTTCCCAGGATTGCTGGGAGCCCGGGGTGCCTAGATGGGGCTCAAATGTTTGGATTCGTACTCTAACCTCAATTGCCTTTCTCTTTTAGTCCATTAGGGATACACAGCTTTCGAAAATCCAATCTTGTTGTGCGAATACTCAGCACCTCAGCTAATACGATTTCACCGCTCAGTTCAGTTCGGAACCGGAACTAAGGAAACTCAGCATTCGCACAATTGAGTTGAATTTTCAAGAGCTATGACGTGTTACAGGTGGGTTACGACAGACACAATACAAGTCCAAACTTTTAAGCAAAATCTAAGCATCCCGGGGTCCCTGTAGTGCTAGGAAAGTAGCCCAACAGAATTTTTCCGCAGGAGGTATGATTGCTTTGGTGGACAATGAAACTTGGTGAGCTGAAAAATGGAGCGTAGGTTACGGTGGTATGATCTTTACCAGAAGTGCTGCGCAGATGCAGCCGCTTGGCGAAACCGATTTCCCTCAGCCAAAATTTTACCCTCTTTCGTAAACTTGAAACACACAAACGCACACGCTTTTCACCAAAACAATGGTCCAGCTCGCTAAAGTACACCGATGGTCGGTGTTAAACAGAACCCCGAACCTGAATGTTTCAAATTGTGAGGTGACTTAATATTTTCCAAATAATCACTGCCAAAGCTCCAGCAAACTGCCGCCTGCTTGGCAATTCCCAAACGCACTGGAAAACCCCAAGACAAATGTCGTTCTTCTGCCCGCTGAAATTTTCGTTAATTTTCTTCTTGAAACATGGCACACAATATACGGACATCTTTCACCTTTCTCAAGGAAAAAGCCTAAAAATTAGCCATTACCTTTCCCACTTTAGCTGCTAGGTTAATGCAAGCTCCAAACTTCTTCACTATCACTGCATTGGCAACATCATTTGAGGGTGTAAAAGCCAATCGCTCTTTTTGACAACACTGCTGGTTCAGCTAGCCCTTATCCAGTGAAGCGGGACTGCATTCACGGAGAAATGATTTCATCTAGATCGTTCACTGCCTATGAGTGTCTCTGCTGAGGGTGCGAAATTAAATAATTAGAGGCAACAAATCAGTCCTCAACAAAATACAAATCTGAAATGTTCAGGTGCAGCATAAGAAAAATCTGAAAGCTTCCCGAAACGCGGCAATGTGATTATGGTCTTCTTTGGTGAATGCGATGGTGGTCAAACGGGTGGTAATCATCTCCGATCATGTTATCGGGAAAATTTCAGACG